ATCTCGGCACCTCCACGCTGTCCATCCCTCTCTAGCTCCCCCGTCTATTAACTCTCCTATTAATCTGACCCCGGATTCGAACTCGCCTAGGCCCAAGACCTCATGTTGGCATCTTCTCTTGCCTGATTCTGTCGAGAGTCAAGCGAGTTATACATCCTTCTCTTCGTCGCTTCGCTTTCCTTCTCTGCCATCTCCATCCTCCGTGCAGCTCAGTCTTCCTATACCACCTAACCCCTTTCCTCTCCTCCAAAACTAACCACGCCAGTGGATTCAACCGGGGCCAAACCCTCGGGATGGTCTCTTCCCCCGCCCGATTCCATCAAGGAACGGGAGGATCACGACCTTCTTTCCCTCTGCCATAGTCGTGTTTCCCCTTCGCCATGTCCGGCCGCATGCACCTGGCGCGATTGTCACCCAGGTTCAACCCCTTTTCCTCTCCTTACGTCAGCTGTTCCGGCCTTCCAATCTTTGCACCGGTCACTACTGCTAGCGCAGCCCAGCCGGACCCGTCGCTTTGGCTCAGCGCTCGTCACTCTACTACGTTGTTTCACCTGCCTTGCTCCGCTCGCGCTCAACAAAGTGCGCTAATACAGCCGCGCTCCGACCGATTCAGACAGTCGGACAGAAAACACTACGACCAGAATTCATCAAGGAGTACGTGACGACTCCCAGTTAGCTCTATTGGCTTCAGTCGATGGCACTGCACTGCACGACTCCGCTCCTTTTCGTGAGTCGGGCGACACAGGCCTGCAACGTGGGCTAGGTGAGGAGGGCCAGGGGTAGACCTCGGTGGTAGTGGCAGATCTTCAGGTGGGAACTTCGAAAACCCGAAGAGGGGGGGTCTTATGTGGCCCGCTGCCTGCAGCCTTGGCCTTTGCTGTTGTGCTTTGCGCCACACCCGGGCACACTTCGCCACCTTCCGGGTCAAGGCGGGCATGCGCACGCTTTTAACCTCTTACAGCGGATCGTGGTTGGCGGATGTCGCGTCCGCAGGAGGTCCCTGTCACTCAAGCTTCTTCTACCAAATTTTGCCAACATCCCAAACCCGCAGGAAGCCGTAGGTCCACAAAAAGGAGGCGTGAGCTCAAAGACCTTCGGCCGCCGTGACGGCCTCTAAAACCAATGTTGCGCCCAAGTCAACGTGCGTCGGAGCATAAAAATATCGACGATAAGTCACAAAATACTTAGAAAGCTTTGACCTCCAGAGCTCCGACTCTGTAGTCGGCAAAACAAAAGGGGATAACCCCGCCGGACCCTCAATCCCTTGGCTTCTCCGCGCCGTTCTAATACTCCTACGTTGTTGCTGCTCGCCTCGATCCCTGAATCTCCTAGATGAAAGACCGATGCTATAACCAAATAATACTAGGCCCAAGTTTGGGTCTAGTTTAGACGGTCACCCAGATAAACGGATACTGCGCAATGCGCAAATCAACCGAAACATTTTCACAATCGCATTATTGTCGACGCCATCTTCCGTACACATGCATAAGTCACAAGCAAGCACAACAATCAAGAGACGTAAATCTTTTTATCCCTAGTTTAACCAGAAATAAACATCTGGCCGGCTATCACGCCAGCCTTTCAATCACCAACAATAAAGATCACGCGTGCCTTAAGCTTGCGCGCCCACACACTCTCCACTCTACTCAACCTTCAGTCAAACGTAAACCACAGACACAGCCGCGCCTCGCGCGGTATACCTAAATCTTAACCCAAACCTATATCTCTGTCATCTGCAAAAGTCAGGGCGGATAGCCTTGTAAGGGTATTCGCACCGACAACTTACCGGACCGTATTAAGCGACGTCCCTGTCGCTTCGCAAAATCAAAAAGCTATAAATCCATCCAAACTTCAAGTGTTGACGAGAAAGGAACCAATCCGATCAGCCGACAGACTCAGGTTCGAGGCCTCCTTCAAATCATGCCAAACATATCGTTATGCTGCCAGGAGTCTAACCTGGGTCTCTATTGTCCTGACAGTCGGACGCTGGTGTACTAGGCATAGGTACTACAGCATAAGTCTCAACGGCCCTCTCAACTGTCCTCTCCCCTTCACCCTAAACAAATGTCATCTTCTCGTTAAGTGTCCCTATGTCTCTACCCTACAAGCAGGGCCATAACCAGGGATGCTGGCCCTAACCGAGACCTTTGAAGGCATTCTTGCCTCCCTCCAATAAATTTCGTAATCAAACATATATATATATATATACAAATCTCATCATAGACTCTTTTTGCAGTCTAGTACAGGAAGGTCAGGTCTCCATCCTGGCCCACCATAGTCTGGGTGATCGTGCCAGATCTACGGCCCACCGCGTTGTTATTTTAGCGGTAGTGCCCTCGCTGGTTGCGCCACGATAGGTTTTTTCCTGATAAGCGTTTCAATCAGGACTCAAAAAGACTCGGCTCGACTCCTATCCCACGTCGTTCCGCAGGAGTAAAACCCTCCTAGGTGGCCATACCCCTTTAAGTCTTTACTCCCTTGGCAAGACGCAGGCCCACTGTTCAGGTTATGCCGATCAACAACCAACACTAGGGGTTGTGCTTTAGTGATGCTAAACTTTACCGTTAGCTTGGTATTCTCATAAATGTCCCAAGATTAGCACAAGCGGCTGGACGGTGTGTCGCAACAAAACAGGCCTACTGCGGAACTACGCAAAGGTCTGCCACACATAAAAGGTATTTACCAGTCCTATGTGGGACAACACAGAGAAACACGGCAACCTCTCCACATTCGCGAAACAAAATCATCGCCAGATTCACTAGGCCGTGACCTCCCTACTTGATCAAAGCAAGAAGGCCACCTCTTAGCGGCATCTCTCAAATAAATCACTTTTGCGACCTCCAAAATTTCACCAATGGCCAAACAAAAAACTTGGTCTTTCTCGTCAGTCTTTATTATTCAAAATCAGCTTTCCATGCCATTAAATCTATTAACCACCTTTCATATGGAGGTCTCACTCAATAGGTCTCCCAGTCATCCCTTCACTTTCTAGGATGAACTCTCATGCGACCTTTTATTAAAACATCTTCCCTCTCTGAAAATGAGTCTTCCAATAAACAAAAGACAACCTTCCCTCGCGAAAGTGTCTCAACCATAAAACAACTCAAACTGAGAGACAAACTTATGGGTCCTCATCACAACTCAACAATAATATTCGGCATGGTAAGCATTCGAGTTTCAAAGACTCATAAATCCTTTAGGGTTCTCACACTTTTCACAAAAACAGATTGCACTTCCTCTCCTTATACCCGGCCCTATCATCCGTCCGTGGGCAGACCGCACGGCGGCACGAGTATACCGAAGAGCAGGCAGTTCACATCCATTCACATTTCATGAAATACACAGCATACGAGATGTTTTTCATACATCTCTCACACAAAGTCATCATGCATCAGGATAAAACCACACATGCGAGAGTGATTGTGATCGCCATATACAGGGGAATAGTCTCAGATAGAACTCAACTCAAAAATACACTAAAGGATGAGATATCTCATCCAAAAACACACATAGTAGCCTAGATCCATTACTCACTTGGATCAATCAATGTCACTCTCGATATGGTACATGGTCAACCGTATTGTTAGAAACGTTGCTGAGACAAGTACTGAATCTGAATGTCAAAGTCCAGGAAGAATATCCTCATTATACGCATGTTATCTTACATGATCCCGACTCTCATGCCTATAGAAAGAGTCTCAATGGGAATCACACGCTGTAATCCACCATATGTACAACTAAACAGCGTAGGTACCCAAACTCCTAACAGTACCAAAACAGAACTACATAAGAAAAGAAAGGCGAGTATCTAATCAAAACGCAAACTCAACCCTGCCTCACAATGTCCTACTGACCCCGTATATGTTATGCGAAACAGTCCCTACTCACTCGTCTCCTCCTGGTTTTGCCTATACAACTGAGCTCTGCCTCCATCGGCAGTCCGCTCGACCACTCAACCCTGCCTATCATACATCCGACCACCACTTTCAGTAACCTTCCCTGCTGCCTTGTCCTTCAGAAACTTAGGACACTGCAAAGCCCTATGCTCCCCGTTTTTGCAGAAAGAAACACGACAAGTCTCCTGATTTTCGGCCTCTCTTTCTCTTCTTCTCAGACCCTGGCGATGAGGGTGCCTCACTAGTCTCCCTGTCTACCTCATGGTATTGGGGCATACCCATAGGCTCCTCCGGTCTCGCCTCCAACTCCTTAGTACTCGGCTCTAGTCGTATCCCAATCCCCTCCGGCCTATACTCAGGCGTATCCAACCTCTATGGTCTACCCCCGATGACACCCTCCATCGCAATCACCATCTCTCTCTCAGGAGGCTCCTCCATCCTTTGCTCAGGTGAAAATAGACTCGCCTCTTCCTACATAGTGTGAATTGCCTCGAGGAGCACATTCATAGACCCTTCTCCTGAACCCTGAACCGGCTCGCTGCTAACTGTCTGCTACCCCCCCTCGACTGATAAAGGTATGGCCACTGTCATGGGCTCCACAACTGTCATGGGCAACGTGGCGAGTTCAGTAGGCGTCCGGAACTCAAAGGCCTCTCTCTCTGCCTCCCTCTTTGCTTTTGCCTCCTCAGGCTCCAGGATGACTCCTCCCATGGGCGGCTCCTGGGGGAGTCCAACTGTGGATGGCGGCCCTGATAGGCCTGCACTGACTCTCTCTGATCGCCACGTCGGCTACTCCCTGCCCCTTCTACTACCTCGGCAGGCTCCCCTCTTTCTGTCCTGTCAGCCCCGTCTCGAGGCTGTTGCCTTAAATCCTGGATGATGGCAGCCTGACCAGCCACGAAAGTTTGAGCTCTCGGACCTCCGCCTCAACTGCCTCCATACGTACTCCATGGCTCGCTTCCTTCATCTTCTTCCCGACCAGATCAGCTTCCAACATTAGGTACCTATCGAAATATGTCTTGGCCAGGAAGCGAATCTTTCGGTCCAGGTACTAGGCAGTGGTGGCTGATCTGGGAGTGCCCCTGCCATGTTGGCTAAAGAACTCGTCCCACATCTCCTTGATTCCACATGGCTTAGGCAGTGGTGGCTGATCTGGGAGTGCCCCTGCTGCCTCTAATCTCTGCCTTTCCTGCCAGATTTCCTCCAAGCGCTTCCCAACTCTGGTCCGTTTCTCCTCGGCTGTCTCCCCTGCTGGTACTCCCTCTCGTACGATGGTCCGCTCTCCCCGGAATCTCAACTCCCATCTCTCCCTCTGGCTGGCGCGGCTCTCGGGGTGGCTCCATAGGTACAGGCTCCTCGATGTCAGGGTGCTCCAGGGCATGCGCTGCTAGATACCTATCAATCGTGGGGACGGCCTCTCTCCTCCAGTCAGTCTGTTCTTGGTCCATCTCCACCCTCACTCCCGGTGACAGGATTGCCTCTGGTGGCGGGGACGGAATCTCCTCCTGTCTAGCCTCCTCCTCACGGGCGATCTCTGATACGATCTCTGGCCCCAACTCTGCAGCATGCGCCTGAGGGGGAGTGTCCTCCTCAACCTCTATCACCTCCTCTATAGCACCTCTCTCGGCACTCTGCCTTGTCTCCCGCCTAGGCTGATGGACCTCCTCTTGTGGCATATCTCCAGTCGGCTCATCATGCCCCTTCCCCGCCTGAGGCACTCTCCACTGTGACACATCAAGGTGCGCCTCCAATTCCTGCAATGATCCTCCGGATGGCGCCACCTCCTCTCTCGCGTGTTGGGGAGACTCGCTCAACTCCACTCCAGTAAAGCGTTGGAAGACCACCCGGCCTATCCCACATTCCGGGTATGCCCCTCACTCCTCAGCCTCAGGTACTGACTCCTCCTCTCGCCTTGCGAGTGCCTTCCGTCCTCCTCACGATGACATGGTCTCTCTGGGCTCTGGGTCCCTCTGCCTCTTGCTCCTCTGGCGTCTCTCAACTCTAGGCTGAGGTGGCTCTGGTCGTCGAAATGCCTCCCTCACATGTGCCCTGCAGCTCTCCCAGTCTCGAGCCATGTCTCTGATCTGCCTGGCCAAGGGTCTCTCTGCCTTCCTCGTCCACATGGTTAATGTTCGTGCCCACTCATCCCTCAATATGCGTTGCTCGTGCATGAATTGCTTAAAATCGGGGATGAAGTCCTCCACATTCCCGATCTCCAGGCGGATCGGCCTGCCGTCAGGCCCCACAGGCGATGGTCGTAGCTCCTGCATCCTTATCTCCACCTCTGGCCAGGTCCTCGCCTCCGTATGAATCCGCACGATGGGCTCTGCAAACCTACCAGCCCCTCTCAGCCTCTCAATCGTCCGAGTCATCGTCTAACCCATATGCTCCACATACCCCCGAAAGTCATCCAAAAATAGCTCTATATCCCCGTCATTGTATACGGGCGTGCCCTCCCGATGGTGAGACCCATGCCGCTCATAACCTCCTGATGCTCCTAATGGCCTCCGTGGCGGCCGCGTCTCCCTCCCTCCCCTTGGCATGGCTGTCTTCGCAAAGTCAGACCTGCACAACAAGCGAAGGAGACGACAGACACACATTGGGTTAAGCAAACAGGTGGCAATAAAACAGGCTCAGGTCAGACCAAACATATCTATCATGCACCCCTGTCCAACCTACACATCCTATCGTCCTTTCCCTTTCTATGCCTTATCTATGACTTTTTTCTACATACTTAGGAATCTACTTTAAGGGAGTTGGATTGCTTATCTCACCTCTTTTCTGGCTACGAACTTCTTGAGCCGAGTCCCTGACACCCAATCTTTCCACTCAGTCCCATCCAACTCTTCAATATGGTAAGCGCCAAACTCTCCACATCGTACGATTCGATAGGGTCCCAACCACCTTTTATCAAGTTTTTTAGACCACTGTTTTTCCAAGGACGAGTCGTACAATAACACGACGTCCCCCACCTTCAAAGGCGTCTTCCGTACGCGCACCGCTTGGTCCCAACGACCCTTATCATCCATACGACTCCTTTCCACTTGACTCGATGCCTCCTGAATCCTTTCCTCGATTGCTCCCACCTTTCGTGCCCGAATGTCAAACAATTCTTCAAAAGACAAGTTGGTCTCTAGGTCCTGGCGCCTCCACGTTTTCAGGAAGCTCTCAATTGGGAACGTAGCATGCCTTCCATACCACAACGTAGCTGGCCATACTTAGTGGTTATCTTCACTGTGACATTCTCGACGAAAAACGCCGCTCTCAGGTACCTTGGCCACTGACTAGGTCCACCTTCAGTCCACTTAGCCAGAAGGTTCGTAATGGTGCTATGCCCTCTTTCAACCGGAGCGTTGGCTTGTGGGTGGGCAGTTGTAGTATAGTTGTTCGCCACACCATACCCTTTCAATAACTCCCGCACCTCCTGGCAAGTAAATTCTGATCCCTTGTCCATCACGAACTCTCGGACGAAGGGGTTACGCAGGTAGCATTCTTCAATGCAACTTACGAGGACCAGACCGGTCTTTGTACGAATGACCCGACCATCCACAATCTCACCAGATAGAGGTGTTTCATCCTCTGGGCTCTTTCACTTGCATCCTTGGTTCTTATCTCGCATGATAGCAGGAGCCCCAGTTCAGGTAAATTCCATCATACTCCTCTGCGCGGAAGGCCTCTTTGATCTCTCCTTCTTCAAACTCGTCATCCTGGCTTTCTGGCACAACATCTTCTCCGTCAGCCAGATTTAACGAGCCTATCGGATCAGAGGGTTCCTGCAGAAGTGTATTGACGAGGATGTACATTCCTCCTATCAGCTCCTCGTGCCTCTTTACCTGGTCCGGACCTTCCTCTATCGTCCTTATCTCCTCCACCAGACTATGAGCGCCAACTTCATCATCCCTTGCCCGTGAGCGCCAACTTCATCATCCATTGGACATCCTTGCCGCCCCAAGGGTCCTCCTCTTCAAAAGGTTTGAGCACCAACTCTGCCTTCTGTTCATACCCCTTTGGCGCATGCCAAATGGGATGACCAACGCAGCTAGGCACGCGCGGGGATCACTCATTAATATGAAGGCGGATGTCCTCCTCCTGGTCCAAGAAGCCATCAACTGGGGGCGTATCCTCTATCGCCTCCCCTTCCTACTTATCCCAGTTGATGCGACTTAGCCCGTCTGCTCTATTCTTGCTCCCTGGGATCCGCTCCAACTCAAAGTTGAACATCCAGATGTACGTTAGCCATCTGGCAACCGTCGGATCTGATGGAATGTAGTTCCTTAGGGAAAAGGCTAAAGTCGTCGGATCCACCCTCAATATGAACCTTCTGCCAAAGATGTAATTTCGAAAAATTCGTAGGCAGTGAAGGACCGAGAGAGTCTCCCTCTTGAACTGAGAGTAATTTTTCTCTGTCGTACATAGAGTTCGACTCTCAAAGCGCAATGGTCTCTCTTTTCCTTCAATATCTGCCTCGATAAAAACTCCACCCAAAGCAATTGGTCCAGCATCCGTCTCAACGATGAATGGCCTTACCTCCGTAGCGTCATAGTTCGGCGTCCCTAATACCAGTCCTCCTTCCCGAAATTCCTCCTTCATTCTTGCCACCGCCTTCTCCTGATCTTCACCTCAGACCCACTCCTGATCCTGACGTACCAACTTCCTCAAATGCTCTGAATTGGCAGCAAAATTTTTGACGAAGGTCCTCCAAAATCCACACGTGCCGAGGAAGCTCCTGACATCTGTTATCGAATGGAATGGTACTGGTCATTCGATAATCTTGTCCGTCTTCTTAGCGTCTGGCCGTCGGTCATTCTCACTACAGACGAACCCCAAGATGGTAGCTTCCCTCATGCAATGTCTGGATTTGGCTCCACTTGCCGTAAGGTTATGTTCCTCAAGTAGATTCAGGACTTTATCAAGGTCGTGAATATGCTTCCAGACAAAACGCCTTACTCCCGGCAAGACTTCTTCGTCCTCTCTCCTTCGTGGTCCCTTTATTGCCAAGTCGTCGATATATGGTTGCGTAATATGTGGACTAACTGTTTGCATGGCTCGAATCATATGCCTCTGAACCATCGCCACAACATTCGTCCACCCTTGTGAAGCCACGTTCATATGAATAAGCCCTCAAGGCGTATGCATCGCTGTTACTGGTCTGTCTCGCAGATAGACCGGAAACTGGTCGTATCCGGAGTAGAGATCAATAAGTGAGATTATTGGCCTCCCAACACATGATTGCGACAGCGCATCCCCATTCGGCAAGCCTCCTGCATCTCGCACAGTCACAGCATTAAGCCTTTGCAAATCCTGCACCCATCTCAACGTCCCATTAGGTCTGATAAAACCAAACCAAGGGGACACATATGGTCCACTCGAATAATCGGCGACGTATGTGCGTATCTTGCCATCGAGGTAATCTACCACCCTCTTCTCTTCGTCAGGGTTAGGATATCGCGCCCCTCTCAAATTTCATGGCTCATGCGGCACGGTATGGATGCGGATCATGAGAATCTTGTCTACATCCAACCTGCCACCCTGCTCATCACTAAATGCATAGGCGCGATGCCTTTTCTTCATTAATTCTATCATTAGCGCCCTTTCCTGGGGTAGTAGGAAGTCAGGCTCTCCTACAATCAACTTCCCTTCGTTCCCCTCGTTGATACGGCATGACCATGTTGCGCCTCTCTCCTTCATCTGCCGTATCAAACCTCGTTCACGCTCGTAGTATACCTCCTCATCTTCAGTAACAAAAATTGGAACTGGGCGACACTTTTTATCTATCGTCTTGTATCGCCTTTGGGAACCCTGCTGGAGCCGTCCCCTAAAAAAGGCCGACTAGCCGTCTGCGCCTGTACCATAGTAGGGTCCTTTCTCCCCCTTGGAAGCCGGTAAACCAACTCCATCTCCCCTGCTTGGGGACATTCCAGGACTTGTTCCCTCAACGCTTGAATGTCGTATGGATCCGCCATTTCATGTGTGGCCACTATATCCATGGCCTTGTTCACATCCGACAGGCTGAGTGAAAACGCTTCCTCCCTTACTTCTCCTTCAGGCTCCGCCAGGAGTCTCCGACGCTCATCCTCCGACTCTTCAATAGTGAAGGAACTAAGGTTAGGCCTGTTCCTTATGCTCCGTGGTCCGGTGTTTCGGCAAGTAATTATCTCGTAATTCCCACACGTTGGATCACATAGAACCAGGATCAGCGACCCATCATGTTTATTGAACATTAGGGTCTCCGTCCTGCGCAGGAAAGACCTTCCCAGGAGGATGGCATGATCCACATCAGGCATAGCGAAAAAGCATGTACTGACCTTTACCCTCCCAATCTCTATAAGCACGTTCGACGCCGTCCCGCAGAATACAGCCTTGCAATTTGCCCCGTGCAAAATGCCGCAATCTGAGTTGTCAATCTCCAGTCCAAACCTAAGTGCGTTAGCCTCCTTGATGATGTTCATCTCGACACCCGTGTCCACCATGGTTGCGCACTTCGTACCCTTTACCACCAAATCCACCATGCCACAGGCCACACATTTCCAGTCCATTTTTGTTCCCGGCTCCGCCCATTCTGCCTCTTTTGGCAGGATCACACTAAGATGGACACTTGGTACCAAACGCCTTGAAAACCTGCCTTTCAGCTCATTACGGAGCCTTGGGACAGATGTCAAAATCTCCTTCAGGGTCATAAGATCATTATGGCCCTCAAGCAGCCTGTCGATCACTCTCTCCACATCAAACCCTTCCTCAAGCCGGACCGCATATTTATTCTTCTTTGGCGTTATATCACGCAACTCCGGTTCAGCTTCTTCTTGGGATCCCCTTTTCCTTGCCCTTTGTTCGGCCCTCCTGTCTTCCTCCCTGCGGAGTCTCTGATCTTCCTCATCCTCATCATCATCCTCCTCTACTTCCACAGACTCTTTTTTGCATTATGGCTCTGGCTCTTTCTGAGGCGGGTCCTGGTTCGCCCCTTCCCTTGCCTGTCCCCTAGTCCGTGCGGCCAATGCGGCTCGTGCCAATGGAGTAGGGGGCCTGTGGGTCATCCTAGACCTTGGCCCTGAACTCACCATGGTAACTCCAGGGTACCCTTGCCTCCCTGGCATAGATTCAGGACCCGAATCATAAAGGAAGACCTTGGGGATACCGGCTTTCCATTCCTCCATTTCCTTATATATATCTGCTAATCCGGTACCGCTCCACCTTGTCCCACAAATCTTCCATCTTTCCCAAGAGGACAGACGTTGGCTCCACCTTTTCACCCTCACTTTCATCGTCCGACTCGACGACTATAGGCTCTTCCTTTATGGCCCCCACCTGTAGTCTTTGAGTCACCTCCTCATCGCCTTCCATCTCTTCCACTCTTATCGGCGGGTCATCCCTCTCCTGCCACAATCTGAAAGTGGCAGGCGGTGCTTGCCGCGCCGCTATTCTTCTGAGAGTTTCCACTCTCACCCCGCCTGGGACCTTCCTGTCAATATACTCCCCGAACTGATCGTATATGTCTCCGTCCGTATTTGAGTAGATCAGTCCGGTCCTTTCATCTTCCCGCCTCACATTGCAGAATCATATAGTATGCCCTTGCTTGTCACAATGTTGGCATATGGCGGTCCTCCAATCAAAACGGGGCCTTCCATACCCCTGACCCCTTTGATTCCCTTGGCCTTGGTAGCCTTGGTTATCCCAGCGCCCTCCCCCTCGTCCTCTGCCATTTCTACCACGCCCTCTTCCGCCACCTCTCCCTCCATTCCCTGGGTTACTCTGACCCTGGTCTCCCCCTCCTGCCACGCTACCTTGTGAACTCGGCGCGGGCGACGGAGGTGGTACCATGGGCTGGGCCTGTGCCGCTGGGTAACTTGGTGGTGGCATACTCATTTGGGGCCCTGCGTAAGGTATCATCTGCCCAGATGCGGTCGGGCTTCCCCATGGCACAAAAGTGCTGAACACAGGCAATGGCCACTGCCCGAATGGTGGTACTGCCGCTTGCGAGGGTCCCGACGCATTTGGCGATGCTATTACCACTGCTTGGGGCGCCTGCCCCTTTCCTGAGCCTCGCCCCCCCTGCGTCAGATTGCGCTGTTTACGTAGCGCCTTCGAGAGGTGTTGGGGCACCGGCTCCTCCTCTTCCCACTCTTCTTGGACGTCTTCCTTTATCACCGGAACTTTCCCTTTTCCTTGGATTGGTGTCACTACTTTCTTTTGTATCACCTCGTCTTTTCCATAGCCCAACTCCGCAAGCACGTCGGTGACAATCCTCTTTACTCCCGGGGTCCTTGAAGCGGTCGCATCCCGTTCTTTTCTCTTTCGCCTTTGCAGGCGCATCTGATGTTGTTCCACCTGGTCCAAACTTCCTTCCTCGACCCCTTTATCGATAGTTGCCCAAGTGAGCTTCACACTTCCCCCTCCATGGCTCGTCAACTCTGACGCCTCCGAGGCAGTGAGCAATTCGAGGAAGATAGCACATTGTGCCTCCTCAGAAATTCCAGAGACCTTCCTCGCCGCCTTCTTAAATTCTTGCACAAAGGCTCCCACAGTGGTGAAATCGTCCCTGTTCATTGCCACTAGGTCTGCAATTGTTAACAAGTCGTTGCCCAGTCTGTACTTCCTTTGCATCCCATCTTTAAACCTGGCCCAACTGCCATTAGCGGCATTCACCACTTTCTCCACCTCCTGATGATGACCATGGAGCACATACTTTAAAATCCGCTGAAACTTTACCGCATCAGACAGCCCCACTATCGCTTGCTCTACCAAGTGAAGCCAATCAGAGACTCGTTCCCCATTGAAATGGAAGGTATCGACCTTGGGAACATTGTTCTGAGACTTTTCACGCCTGTCTAAGGCCTCGACCAAATCGTCGATCGTCAGGACCTTCCCGGTACCATCGGCTATGCCTCCTGACATCTTGGCAGAACCTCTTTCTCAATTTTCCCTATTAAGAAGAAATAGGGAAAAAACTTTCATTCAGCATCCTAACTTATCATGACGCCTATCGAGCTTCCTAAATAGTTACCTAACGATTCAGACCGAATAGTACTACCTATTCCTTCTCTTTGAATTCATCATAGTAAGCCCCATTTTTACCATAGGGTTTCCTTTATGACCTCCTAACCCAGGCAACCAATCAGATCAAGGATAAAACTTATTTCATAAATAATGCTTCTTCATTATAATTAGCTTAACAAGATGTTACGTACTCTGTCTTTCCTTATATGCCTATTTCTCTCTCAATCTTATATCTGGATGTTGTTCCACCAGGGACAACTGTAGGCTTCTGTTATCCCGGGCAACGGCGCCACCTGTCGAGCGCATCGGTCCGGCACCGCACAAGGCAGCACAGGACCCTCCCGGCCGCGTCACGCAGAAGTTGGTCTAAATCCTTGTCACCAATGCATATGGAGCTTCCGCAAGCCGCTCCGGCCAAATGCTCCAACCATACCTCTCGCGAGCCCCTACGACAGGATAGGGCCTACGCGAGGCACGACTTACCTCCACCTTGCGGGAGCTGTCACCTCCCTTCGGTGGGCGTATCCCCGCCGAGCTACCAGTCCACAGTACGAAAGCTAATCAGTTGCAATTGCAGAGGTGGACCAGCCGAGGGCGTTTTTTGTTCGTTGTAGCATAAGGGGTACGCGCGGTAATACACCTCTATCGAACCCGTACGGGAACCGACACCTTGGGGGGCTGAGGTCCCAAGCACGACTCGTCGCCGGTCAACTAGGACGCATCCCACACACCACGCATACACCACTCTAAATAATATAAAAATAAAAACACACATACACACAGAACAAACAACACGACAACACTCCTAGTCCCTTAGTAGCCGTCTCATAACTCTCCGATGCGGAAATCGGGTAGGCGTCGCGCGCGAGACTTAGTATAAAACTGTGCGGGCGCCAGGTCTTCCCATATCGACTAGCAATGCATAATTACGCAAGCAGTCGTGATGATGGCGTACTATGTAGTGCCCATAATCAAGCGGTACCTCGTGGATCCGAGTACCGCTTATGACACTCAAGTGTCTCTCTCGAAGTATCGTGAGGGTCTACTCCCTTACGATATTGCACGGCTGAAGGAATAGTCGTGCGGCCGCCGCGGCACCTCCAGCCTTTAGGCTGAGTGTCTCGGCAGGCAGGGCAAATAGGCTCTGCGCGGGGGGAGATCCCTTCCATGCAGAGTCTAGGACCTGGGATGTCCTAGACAAGGACCTTGAATCCGGGCCCAAGACCAACGTCCGACAAAGAAATTTTTAAGAAGCATACAAAAAATAGAGGGGTTTTCTTTCTTCTCTCCATCTAGACCCCAATTAAACTCTTAAGCATAGGCCCCTCAGACCATGCGAACACCCAATATAGGTACATACATGTATATCTAAAGGGGAATAAGTATGTTACGATCACTTCTCACAATCATAATGAGACCTCACAGTTATATATATGTGTGTGATTGTAGACAGTCAAATCCAAAATCCGAACCACAGAACATATTTGCAATCACATCAAAGAGTCAACCAAAAGTCCACTTGCTACACGGTGTCAACTTCAGCCAACGTCTATACTCATACCCCTCGTTTTAGCCATGCAAGCCCCAACCCTTGTCCAACCAACCATAATTAAATACTCAGTACCTTTGTTAAATGGCCATTCAATAAAAGTCTGAGTGAAAGCCTTAATAAAACATTAAAATCACCAGAGCTAAAACCTTTAAGGTTGAGTATCGAGGATGAATTGGAGTTGAATCGTAGACCGACGAATCGGTAACCGACTTGTTATCAGTGATAACAGAAGGTGATCCTTGTAGGATCAAGTTGAACGTAGTCATGATTTCGAATCAAACGTTCAAGAGGACCTGTAACACAAGACAGGTCAATCCCAAGTTAAATCTACGAGTCAAAATCAAGGGTAACATCCATATCACGTTTTCACCAAAAATCATTTTTCTTAACTAATCCTGAGTGTACCCCTAAGTCAGTGCCTAATGAAAATGTAGATCTTTGGCAGAATCTCCTCTATGCAGAGAGGATTGTCAGAATCGCCACCTGTCAAAATGTAATCTAACTCCTCTAAACTAAGAAAATTTTGGGAGTGTTTTCCGTAGGAAAAGTACCTTCTCAGAATTTTTAATAACTCAAATATGCAAAACAAAACGATCTCTAACTCTGGAAAGTCAAAATTCGTCTAACTCCCTGAATTAGTAAAAATTTGGGCAACACCTCGTTTAGAAAGGTAGGCTTCCCAGATTTATACTAAGTCAGATATGAACTCGGACTTAAAACCTGAGTTCAACTAAGACAAAACTTAACTAGGCTTCCCAAATTTATACTAAGTCAGATATGAACTCAGACATAAGAACTGAGTTCAACTAACACAAAGCTTAACTAACCCCTTAGATTTGTAGAAATTTAGGCAGCGCTTTCCGTAGAGAAAGTGTTATTCCAAGATTTATACAAGTTAAGTTCAGAATTTAAAATGACTTTGACTTTTCAAGGTCTAATTTTCTCGAACTCCCTGAATTAGCAAAAATTTGGACAGCACTCCCTTTAGAAAATGAGATGTTTCAATTTTTACTAAGCCAAAAAGTCAGAAAAGCTGGACTCTGAAAAAAACAAAATATGATTAACTCCTTGGTTTTGTAGAAATTTCGGCAGCACTTCCATAGAGAAAGTGGCTTACCAAGATTTATACAAGCCCAAGTATAATAACAAATCCCAGAAAATGCAGAAATTGACCTAAGTAAAAAAAACTTAGCTCAGAAAATGCAAGAATTTGAAACTAACTCTTATGGCTCTGGCACGTGGCGAGCAACTAAAACAACTACCCATCAACTGAAACTTAGACTAGGTAGTAGTTGCACTCAGTCTCATGCAGGCCAAACTACAGGTGTAAGTCCTCTCACCATCCCAAAGTCAATTCATCAAACAATAGTTCATAGTCTCTCAATGATTTATCCCTTTATACCCATCTTACATACGACATAAAGCCAGACGACCTAATCTTATAAGAACTTGTCTAGCTTAGCCATAGAATATACACAAACACAGGGCACTACAACGTTTCTCTTCTTTGGGCATGTGACTAGGTCACCCTAGTCACCCTAGTCGCCCTGAGTCATTTAGGTATCCAAGTTATATATAATTGTCTGCGCTTTGCCTTTTAAGGCAACATATGACTGAACCGGTTATCTTAGATCAAGATTCAGCCTGTCCCTTCTTACCACAATTTTATTATTAATTCATACTCTCTTCAATTGATAATGAGCTATAGTCAGACCATCCAATCTTATAGAAAATGTCTACCTAGCCTGTTCATAAATAAGTTATATAAGATATAAACAATTTTTAGCCTTTGTGTTCCAGCATGTGCGTGGCTTCAGACCAGACCACCCAATCTTATGGAAACCTGTCCAGTCCTTTGCCTAAATTTCCCTTTTTCAAAATAAACAAGGGAGAGTCAGGGCCATCCAATCTTATGGAACGTGCCCAACTCTCTTTCAGAACTAATAAAACATAAGAAAAACCCAAAGAAGCAAGGCAACCAAACCATCCAATCTTATTGAAAAATGCTTGGTTCTTGAAAGTCAAACCCATGCAGCCCTCACAAGTCAAAGCAACCAGACCACCCAATCTTATGGGAACCTGATTGGTCCTTCAGGCAATCAAAAGTAAACATAGTACTGGGCCCTCCAATCTTATTGAGACTCTCCTATCCTTTGGTTGACCCAGTCAAACATGCAATACTGCCTTTCTCCCATCTTTTCCCCCCAGATGCAATCCCACAATCTGCTTTCAGTCAAACAATAAACTAAAATTGACATTGTACATACATTCCTTTATTTAATCTGGTTTGTGTCCTGAAAGTCAAACTGACAAGTCAAAGTAGGGATGCACACAATATACTCAGTCAAACATAACAAGGAATACAGATAGGGGTTACAACTGGGTTCATAGAGGGGAAGCAAAGGTTACGTCTCAGTTCCCTGCCTCCAGAACTCCTCCTAAGTTCTGGCAGAGCTCCCGCAATCGGTGGGCAAACTCCCCACAGAGTCTTGATGCAGTCCTACGGGGGGTTGCAATCCCCCCTGCCGCCTTCCTCTCGTAACCAAAGACTAGAGTGAGAGTTAGAAGGACAGAGATAGATTCGTTTAGTCTCTCAGATACAAGAAGGTTGCACTCAGACTCGCGTGAGAGGGTCTTGAATCCTTGATGCGCCTGAGGGCCCGCAATGGTGGCCAAGATGCAACAGCCACTCGATCAGGCTGAAGTCAAACGTTAGCGTTGACTCCCTGGCGCCCCTTTAACTTGTCGTAATAACCCCCTCTTGCCGCTTGATCACTTCTCAAAATCGCAACATCCGCTCCCTAACTAGCCTGTTACCATGTTACTTCGGATGATTGCGCTTAATGGCGGCGATTGCGAATGCACAGCGATAGGAAGCACAACAGAAGAGTATTTACCAAGCGAAACACACTGTAGTGCTGCGATCAGACAGTTTCGAGTCTTTAATCAATAGTTTGAGGTGGCAAGGAAGCAGTCCGGGTACCAAGCAACGACACATAAGGCGTAGCACGACACACGTCGTTCAGCAGAAGCACCAGTGAGCCACCGAGATGTCGCAGAAGCTGGCTCCTTGGGTCGCAGGCAAACTCCATCTTGCGGACGCCGATCTTAGATGATAGGGTGTGGACGAACCACCCAATCCAGCACAGGCAACCGGTCGACAGGGCGCACAAGTAATAAACGCGGAAGGCACGGCCGGTGGTTGAGCAACACGGCCACGCCACACAACGAACATATCAGCCTGCAAACACCACATCCGAAGCCAGCGGGACACAGGCAGCGGGCCAGC